AGTTTCTCCTTACCTCGGAATGAAAACCCAACACAATAAACGGTAGAAAACATTTCCCACACAGTGCTTCATCCTAAATGCATAGAAAATCTCCATGAGAAACCAAGAAAACTAAGAAAGGGATGAAATACCAAAACCCTAGTTCATAAAACTGACCTCCAAACGTCCCAAACATAACCTTAACCTTTAATCTTGTTCAAAAATGCCTTTGGAGGTAGTTTAATAAGTGAAATAGGGCTGGAAATCTCAAAGAAGGGATGAGAGGAAAGGTGAAAAAATAAATTTTCCGAACCCTAAACCCCTCAAATACCCTATAAGTCACGACACTCTTGCTACAACAAAATTTTTTCGCTGCAGCGAGGCATCTCTCACTATAGCGAGACCCCTTCTCGTTGCAGCGAAAATCTCAGACGATTCTGCTAAATCTCGCTATAGCGAGACCCTCTCGCTACAGATAGACTGCACTAAAAAATGCATCCTCCTCTACAAACTGTTCTTTCAATCTTGGATCGATTCAATCTCTTTTCCTCTGCCATTCTTTACTCTCTCACTTCTTTTCTTTGTCTACGAATTGTTCTTTCAATCTCCGGATCAAATAAACAAACTGTAGAACACTTAGAACGAGTGAGCATACATTAAATGAAATTATTAAATAAAAAATAAAAAATAAAAATGAAAATTATAAAATATAAACAAAAAATTTAACGGTAAACAAAACATAATTAAAATAAAGCAAAACACAAATTGCTCAAATCAATTTAATTTGAGATTTTCTTAATATTGAAAAAGCAATTCCCGACAACGGCGCCAAAACTTTGTTCAGAGGGCAAGTGTACCCATCGAGAAGTAATATAGGGTCCTTAAATTAAGTTCCCGAAATATTGTCCCACAAGGATTGTTTTCCAATTACTAAGGATTTCCTAATTCAATTGTTTAAGCTTCAAAGATTTGAGATTAATTAAAACAAGAATTTATAAAATTAATTATAAACTAAGGGTAAGGAATACAATGCTCGTCTTGGTTAAACTTATCAGAGAGGATCCTAAGGCATATGAGTTTTCTCATTCAATCCTTTATGTTATTCTTCTGTTTAATTCTAAATTCGATTTTCTTGTGATTACCAATCATTCATACGAATACTATTAATACCCAATGGTCATGCAATATTAATATTCTTTTCTCTAAATTAACAACTTAAGAAAGCTTAAGGAAGTTACGAACTTGTTAATTTAATAACAATTAGAAGAGAAAGATTGGTTTGGTCTACCTAATCCTTTGTCTCGTTTTACCTTATAGATCTATTAATTAACCGAGGTACGGTCGCCTAACGATATAATTAATTAGGATTAAGAAAGAAGCACAATAGGATAAAATCTAATCACAAAACGAAAATCAAATTTAGATTCAAACATCAAAATTTCATAAATTTATGAACAATAGTTCCTATAGCCCTAGCTATGGACTTTGTTACTCCTAAACAAAAGAACTAAAACAATCATAAACAAAGCCATAATCAAAAGAAATAGCAAATTAGAGTATGAGATATGTTCCCGGTCTTCAAGTACAATCGCTTGAAGCTCCAAGTCTCGCCAAGCATGTGCTAAGGATCCCGTAGAAGAGAGACGAGATGAGAAGTGTATCCAAAAGCCAAAGACTAGATGTAAAAAGGTCCCCTTTACGATGCTTGAGATCTCCTTTTAATAGAGTTTGAAAACCCTAAAGACTCTTGATAATTGAGCTTCTCGCAGATGAGCACGACCGTGCAAGGCCTTAAGCACGACCGTGCATGGGCTCGAAGCACCCCTGTGCTTGTTGAAAGGGTTTGGGCGTGCTGACTGCTGCGAAGCTCTAATCTTCCATCAATTTGGGCCCAAAATGCATCCAACATCCACTTGCGGCCTCTTTATACTAAACTGCACAATTAATGTACAAAATTTAGTGTAAAATCTAAATAAAATAAAGGTCAAATATGAATATATGGGCTGTAAAATAGGGTATAATTATAGACTTATCACTATGATCATACGGTAGTATGTGAGCAGGTGTGACAGGTGGTGTGTCCACTTCCCATGCTGGAAGGTCTGCCTGAAGAATGGGCCAAGTCAGAGATTTTTGGGATATGTAACTTTACCTTTGTTAGTTTGGACTTCTTAGCTATATATTCCGTCATGTATTGAAATTTTAAATTATAACTTGTATTTTGAGCTTCGTGTCGAGCAATTCTTGTGTAACTTTGGTTAAAAAATGATTATGTATGTTCAGAATTTTATTAAGATGCCCTTGGGGCTTTACTCCATCATTGAAGTGTTAAATTTTATTTTTCATTGGTCCTGAATCTAGTATTTGATATTTCTTCAAATGTTTAAAATTCATATAGATATTAATTGGGCAATATGTCATAAACCCTTCCTAAAAAGGGGTTGTGATAGTGAATCTATAAGTTTTATACCAAAAGATAAGGAATTATGGTGGTAGAATTAAAGTGTACAAGAGAATATTAGAGATATAAAGATGTGTTTTAAAACTTTGTATGTATGCGACAATGCTTAAAATTGGGCAATATATCGAAATACAAATAATGAGACAAGAAAAAAAGTGAATAAAACACATTTTAAGACTTTTGACAAGTTCAATCAAAATATTCGGACAATGTATGATGAAAGAAAGATTTATACATTTTTCAAAAGTAGAAAAAGAAAATCTAAAGATTTGTATCAAGTCAAAAGTATTAAGGATGAAGAAGGAAAATTTTGATTTTAAATCAAGACATCAAAGACAAAAATGGAAAAACTATTTCTATAAATTTTTTAACAATAAATAAGAAGAAAATAGAAATATAGAAAGATTAAAAGCGCAAGTAAATGATTTAAATTTGAGTAGGAGAAGTAAAGGAAGCTATTAAGAAGATGGACAATGGTAAAACAGTTACCTTGATAATAACCCTTTTAAAGTTTGAAAAAATAAGGAATTAAATGCCTTACTAAGCTCTCTAATAAGATTTTGACATTGAAAAATATGTCAGATAAATAATGGAGAAATTCACTTTGTCTTTATATATAAGAACAAGGGAGATATATGAAATTGTGCAAATCATAGAAGAATTAAACTTATAAGTCACACTCTGAAGTTGTGAAAAAGGTGATTGAACAAAGACCATTAAATTGAAATTATAGAAAATCAATTTAGTTTATGTTATGATGGTCAATTTGAACCCATGAGTACCTGGCATTATGTCATTTTAGATCTTTTGAAGCAATTACTTGTAAAGAAAAATAATATATTTGCTCTCTAAAGTGAGAGAAAGTCTAAAGATGTATTTCGATAATAGATACATGTTTACTTTTCTCCAAATATTTAAAGTATAATATTTGTATCTCACAAGAAAGGAGAATGTATTTTACTATTTTATTCAACCTAATATCAAATTGATTGTTTAAAGTTTATACACACAAATTATATATAGAGATATATAAAATTATATTAACTAAAAGTATTATAAGAGTGTTATTATTTTTTTAATTACATTATTTTATTGTTCCTTAATTGTGCCTTCCAATTTATCTTAATTTAAAAAATATTATTTTTAACTTAATTCTATTTGATATAATAAAAAATGCTAGTTACCATAATAAAAGTATTTAACTTTTTAAAATTTATAAAATTTTAAAATGGTATACAATATAATTTTATTTTAATTCTAAAAAAATAATTTTAATTTAATAATATTTATATAATTGACAAGAAATTCACTTATATAAAATCCTAAATGTATACAGTAATAACAAATTATAAATTATATGTTCTTAAAAATTGTACATAGAACATTCATATTAATTATTTATACACAACTTTTTATAAAAAATATTTTATAATTATTTATGATAAAATAAATAATTTTGAAATACAAATTCTTTAATTTCTCAAAAATATATATTAAAAACATTAAATGCATAATATTAAACATTTGAATTTACTATAAAAAATAGTTATTGAATATATTAACGATTTTGAGATAATAAACATTCTCATTTTCAAACAAACTTTTTATTTAAAACATTTTAACATGTGTCCTTGAATTTAAGCAACTCTTAGTAATAAAAATTCTATTGAAAAAAAATATATTTTATATAATTTTATAACTTTAATGTAATAAATATGTTTTTTAACAAAAAAATCTTAAGTTCAATACTAAACTTGAGATTATCAAAACCTAAATTAAAAATTCATTCACGAGCTAGTAAACTAATTTAATTTAAGAGTGATTGTAATAAGTAAAAAATAATTCTAATACGATTTGGGCTCTTAATCCCCATAAATAGAATAAAAAATCTAATAAAATATTAGTTAAATTAGTACATTAATTCTTTATTTTTATTTTAGTTCCATCTTTTTTTTTTATTTTCATTTAGTCCATTAAAAATTTATTGTTAATTTTTTCTTTCATATATATTTTTTCTTACCCTTCATCTCTGCCTTTTATAATCTATTTTTACCCAACGTTGAAGCTGTGAGAAAAGGCAACGACAATGTTTGTAAGACACAAGCTGAATAATGAGGCAAGTGCTAGTGATCATATATACGAAGACAAAGCTTTCATCTCCCGATTCAACTAAAAAACTTATCAAAATGTGTTGTATTTCTTTTATCGAAGTTTATAACAAGAATACAATAAATTTCAAATAGAGTTTTATTTTTTTTAAATTACAACACTTTTAAAAATTGAAACATCGAAATATATAAAAAAAAAGTTAAAATACTAAACGGAAACTAAAATTGAAGTTAAGGATTAATATAGTAAATTAGTAAAAAAAACTAAGAACTGAGGTTTTCTATATAAAAGTTGTTCGCATTGTTTTCCTTCTCCGCTAATTAAGTGCACCTTGCACAACTTGCAGAATACAAAGTTTCGCAACGCTTCGAAAACGACTTAGAGTCAAACACACATACGAAAAAAAAAAAAAGAAAACCGAAAACCCTAGTTGTTCCAACAACCAATCACATTCAAGAAGGAAAGGGTTTATCCTTGACCAAGAAACTTTATTTCTTCAATGTTCTTCCTCTTCACCGCGTGCTCCAATTCAAGCCCTTCCAATGTGAGGTGGTAGAAATTCAAAGAATACGAAGCTCTGTGAATGTGATTGGTTGGGTTGGAATGGAAGCGCGTTTGGGACAGAGAGCCCTCAACACTGATAGTGGCGCCGCCAAGTGTTTTTCCATGGCGCAGAATAGAGAGCAACTCGGAACGCTGCATCAGCTTCTGGCTGGTGGCATCGCTGGTGCCTTTAGCAAAACCTGCACCGCCCCCCTTGCGCGCCTCACTATTCTTTTTCAGGTTTTCTTTTCTAATTAAAAATTAATTAATTTATTTTTTTTCTTAGGAATGTTTTTGGACTTTCTTTTGTCTGCTATGGGATTCCGGAGCTTCGGTTGAGTCTGGGAAATGGATTTTGGTTCTTGGGTTTGTTGCATTTATGATTCAGCTTATTTTTGGAGAAATATTTATTTTCTCTAGTTTTTTGTTGTAGTAGTTGTTCTATTGGGTTTAAAATCTCCTTGAACCAGAGTTTAACCGATTAATAATAATAAAATTTAATTAAAAAAATATTATATCATCAATATAATAAATATTTCAATTGCAAAAAGATTATAATAGAAAATTTTTATTAGCATTAAATTGCGTGATATATTGATATTTCTAATAAAAACTTACTATATGTCTTTCGACAAATGTCAATACTATCGTAAAATTGTATTTTATTAATTGCTTATATTTAATACATAAAAAAACTTTTTCTTCTTTCAGTTTCTGAAAAAAATGCTTTTCTGTGACAAACAATAGCAAAACTGTTCTAGTATATACATATTCCTTATCTATCCTGGTCTGGCTTTCCTGCAATTGTATGATGTTATGTTATGTTATGTTCTTTCATTGTATTGCTTGTTGATGTTAAAATTATGTCACAAATTAAAATTATTCGTGGGTATATGTTGGTACTTGATGTCAATGGTGATTATGGTTGTGCCACTAGTAATAATTGTTGAAGAAATCTTGCTTTTGTAATTTTTTTTAGTGACATTTGAACTTGAAATTTAAGTTGGTTGATTTTGTATAGATTCATCATTCTTCTTTTTGTTTTAATTAGTATTTATCTGACTATTCTACATGTCTTGGCTTTAACAGGTGCAAGGTATGCATTCTGATGTGGCAGCATTGAGCAAGCCAAGCATATGGCGTGAGGCGTCACGTATTGTCAGTGAAGAAGGGTTAAGAGCATTTTGGAAAGGCAATATGGTGACCATTGCTCATCGTCTCCCATATTCTGCTGTCAACTTCTATGCCTATGAACGCTACAAGAATGTAATCTCTAATGTTCTTTCTATAATGTAAGTGGCTCAGAAGATGTGGAATTTATTATTATACGGCTTGAATTAATTTCATCTTCTCTTTATTGTGTTGCAGGTGTTATCTTCTTTGATGGCGGAGAATCTTAGTGGAAATTCAAGTGCAAACCCCTTGGTGCACTTTGTGGGTGGTGGCTTGGCAGGTATTACAGCTGCTTCTGCCACATATCCTTTGGATCTTGTAAGAACACGACTTGCAGCGCAGGTAATTAGAAATTTTTGTGAACTGATAATAATTGGAGACACTTTTCAAGCTTTTATTTGTCTGCATGAGTGACTTCGCTATATTTTACATTATTTTTATTGTTTGATTTAATTGAATCCTATTCATCATTATTCTCTGTTTGCTTTTAACTTGTATATTGAGACTCTTATATTTTGTTCCTTTGCAGAGAAGTTTAATGTACTACAGGGGCATCTCACATGCTTTCAGTACAATCTGCAAAGAAGAAGGTTTTTTGGGTCTGTATAAGGGACTTGGAGCGACATTGTTGGTATGCACATGATGCATATTCATATTCACTTGTTTGATTTCTTACTATCTTGCTATGTTATTATTATTCACATAGCTAATCATTTTGTATGATGCAGGGTGTTGGACCCTGTATAGCTATAAGTTTTTCTGCTTATGAGTTGCTACGTTCTTTATGGCACTCACAAAGGTGAATTTATACTTGCATTCCATGAAATTTAGGAATAGTTTTTACTAAAGGATTACCTTATGCTCACTAACTGGTTTTTAAATTTCTGTTTCTTTCAATTGTAGGCCTGATGATTCTACTGCCGTGGTTGGTCTTGCCTGTGGCAGTCTTTCAGGAATTGCATCATCAACAGGTGGGTACTTGTTGATTGTGGCTATCACTAATCTGAGCATGAATTTCTGGAGTTTTTATATACAGTACTCTGCGTCCAGTGCCAGCTATGATGTTATTGTATTAGATGATTACATATATTAGATGCTCATTTAATTACTTTTTGACATGTGAAAATAAGATTACTGTTGTGAAGCTGGGAAGTTGATAGGCATTTATTTGAATGTCAATTTGGTGCCTTGTTACTGTTCCACTTCCCGTCAAACCATTATCAACTTTTTATGTTTTCTAGTTAAAATGTGCCAGTGCCATATCCTTCCTGCTTTGACTATGCAGTATATACCACTAGTTGGTGCTATTTTTTTATGCGGGGAAGAAAAAGTATTGTGGAATATGAAAATGAGAAGTACCTTTTTGCAGCATGTTGATTTGGTTGGCTTGCTTTCCCTTCTAAGTGATCTCTCATTCTCTATATCTTTCTTCCTTGTTTGATTATTTCTGTTTGAAATGTGGAAATGAATGTGATCAATTTAATCATTTGCGACCTTCTGCTTATACAATTTTGCTGGCATGCTTAAGATTATAATCTCATTCCCATGCATTCCTTCCCATAGAATATTTGGCCACTTGTTTGCAGTATTTTGAAAGGTAGGTAGTAAAAGGTATATTTGTTCTATTCTTCTCTCTCAATTTCTGTACTAACAGTCTAACTCTATGCTAAAACTAATAACAGCTTGTCATACAAGCTCATTAAGGAATGCATTTTGCTAGTTTGTTTATCTTCTTCTTTGACATTGGGTACCAGTCCGATGATTAAACTGTGGCACTCTAAATATTGGAAGAGAAGGGTATGGGTGTAATAGATGTTTAAGAGGTTTGATCTTCTGTTTTCAAAAAATATATTCACATCAATCCATAATTCAGAACTAATCACTTTTCCTAGTTTAGGATAAATAATCATAGCAATCAAAGATAATTCAATCAAAAGAAACTGTCGAACATTATAAATCAGCATTGCCACAATAATTTAGGTACAGTCTCGTGAACAACACCCATCTCAATAGCCAAAAATTAGTATGATTATAAATGAATCAGTAATGACTCTTGAAATACTTGAAAGTGCAGGCCCATTTCTTTTCCCTGTCAGAATCAAATGATTAGGGGTTAACCATTTTGCAAGTCTTGCTGCAAATAGCAGTTCAGTTACCTGTGGCAAACCATGTCAATTAATTATAATGTTATATTATCTGCCTGAATTTTTTTCTTCCCAAACCATGTCATTGGTGTATAAACTATTTTTCTAAGACGATTCAGTTGCTGTTAGAAGTTGTATTCCTAATGGCATGATGTGATGCGCCTTCTGGTGTAAGCTAATTTCTTGCATGAGCATTGGTTAGATAGTGTAAGAATTGTTTCATTGGAAGAATCTACTCTAGTAATACCTTTTGACCTGTGTTGCTAAATAAAATGTCATTTTCCAGAAACTAGTTGGATAATACCGAATTGTATGTTTGGTCTGATTTTTTTCTGGGCATTACCTAAGTTTCTGTTTTTAATGTGTCTTGCAACATGCAGCAACATTTCCTTTGGATCTTGTAAGGCGTAGGATGCAGTTAGAAGGTGCTGGTGGCCGAGCTCGTGTCTATAACACTGGCTTGTTTGGGGCATTTGGGCACATAATTCAAAATGAAGGGGTACGAGGTTTGTACAGAGGCATTCTGCCCGAGTACTACAAGGTTGTTCCCGGAGTGGGCATTGCCTTTATGACTTATGAAACATTGAAGATGCTACTATCAGGCAGTCCAAGTTATTAGCATACTCAATTGCCAAATCTGTGCCATTTACTACAATGCTCTTGGGTTAAGTTTACTAAAGATTACAATTTCAGGGGAATTTGATCTCCTAGAAAATGGTATGCTAGAAAATATCATGGGTAACATTTTCTAGGAAGTTTTGTTGAGAGTTTTGCTGTTATTGCCAGGATTTTTTCTCTGTATAGGCAGTTGTAATCTTAGAGAAGGCAACTATACCCATTTTGAATTTTAGGTTGAAACCATTTTTGTTGCTGATGATTATAAGTCCTAGATAGTAATTACGATTTATTTTAATATCATATGTTACAATTTGAAACACAATTGGAGCATGTTTTCTCTGTTTTTTGCCTTCTGGTCAAGATAATTAGTTCATGGTTGATAATTCAATTTCTTGGTCCAGTAATGACTTAAAAGAGATTGGTTGATAATCCAAACATACTCAAACAGTGTATACCCTTCGGGAAAGATTGTTTCTACTTAATTTAGTGTTATATAATGTGTCAATTTATTTATTTATTTTAATATTGCGCTTAAGAAAGTTTGTAAGGCAAAGTGTGGTGGGGCCTTGGGGTAAGGGATATTGAGAAATTTAATATAGCCGTACCAGGCAAATGGAACTGGTGCCTGTTATCTGAGAATTGAGCTTGGGTCATGACTCTAAAGTCAAAATATAGGAGGGTCGCTCTTTTTGTGTATAGAGGGTGAAACTAATATAAAAGAGATGGTAGCTCTTGTTCTAGCTAGTGGAGGGAATCAGGAAAGTTAGAAGATGGTAGAATGGGAGAAAAATCATGGTTCTCAAAAAATATCTTAAAAAATAGGGTAATGATTAAAGTTCGAGTTTTTGGAAGGAACCTTTGGCTGCGGAGGGTTAAGGCTATATACAATTATCCCAACAAAAGACAGCAACATTAACAAATGTGGGGTTTGAGTGGAGGTGAAAATGGGTTCTTAAGTGGAGGCGATAACCCTTTCAGTAGGACGAGTATTGTCGATGAATTAATACTGGTTATAGTAGGTAAGTGCTCAGGATAAACAATAGGATCAATGGACTTGGCAATCTGATTCATCTCTCTGTGAAATAGCTTACAAGATTCTCTACCCAGAGGTCCAACCACTGCTATAAAAGTTTTTTCAAGCTGTGGGAGTCAAAGGCACTTTAGTCTCTAGTGCTTGCATGGAGGGTATTTTTGGGCTGTGAATCAACAAACGATAATTTAGTAAAACGCGGTATTGATCTATCTAGTCATTCTAGTATTTGAATGATATGTAATATAAATTCAAAATTAGTGAATCATCTATTTTTTCCAAAGTTGCCTTCAAAATATGGATGGAATGGATTCGGAGAACATCTGTCTTACCTATATAATTATCAAAATATGCGTTTTTTTCCTTTCTTTCTTGATACTTGTAATATTATGTTAAAAGGGTTATGAAATTTCTGATCCTAAATATGGACAACTAAAAACAATTTTTTATTTTTTAAATAATGGTTGGCATTCAAGAAGTTATGGATCTTATAAAGGTTAAAGCATGGTTATGGGTAAGGGCAATATGTGAGGTTGGTGGTATGCCTTACTATGCATGAGAATCTAACACGTCTTCGAGTCTTCACAGTTATGGCAAAAGATGAAGAAGTGAGGTGATTTGCTTGGGATGTGTGTTAATTGTATACACTGAATCTTTATGCTATGAACATTTATACTTTTGTATCATAAATTTTTTTAATAAATGAGGTATTTAAAATCAAACTATGTTTATAAGAATGTGATGATATCCTTAAAATAGTAAATATAACTTCTTTTTTTTGTTTCTCATTAGATTTAATTCGGATCTGACCCGGGTTGTCCACTTGGATATGGTAGGTGAGTCTACCACTGGAAATTTTTTATATACACAAGGATTCAAATTTAAGACTTTGTTTAAGCGATATCGAGCTGTTTGTCACTCAAATCAATTTCTATTAGTAGTAAATATAACTTTGTATAATATCAAATAAAAAACTTTTATAAAATCTTACTTAGTAATATTCTTAAAGTTTCATTCAAGTATTATTATTAAGAAAATATAATGTTAAAATTAGTATGTAAGTGAATTAGTGTCTAAGTCTTACAGATCATGGATATGAGTTATGAAATAATCATTTCAATATAAACACGTGATACAACATAGACACAATTGATGTCTAAAATATAGGACACTGATGCACTGTGCATATATATATATATATATATATATATAAAAGAGTTTAAGACAATGTCGTCTTATACAGAAGGAAAGAAATGAGAAAGTTTTAGAGATGAAATGTAAACATGTAGAGGAAATATTTTTTAATTTTTTAACCAATTAGACTAGAATTATTACTTAATTAGGTCAAATTCAACTTTAATAAGTCCATAAATTGAGCCATACTCATTAAGATTTTACTTTTTTTATTGATTTAAAATTCTTTGATTTTAATCTATTAAAATTTTTCACTAATATTCCAAAAATTTTAAATTGTTTAAAATTAAAAATTTAATAAAAAAGTTTAACTCATAAAATTGTAATTTTTTTCAAAAAATAATTATTCCCTTAAAATATTTCATTTAAATACTCTCTAAAAAGGAAAACCAAATGATCACTTAGTAAAGTCCACGTGTCATTAAATATGAAAGAACCCCGTATACATCAATGGCATATGGTAGAGATGGATGTAATTTTTGGAATGTGTTAATTATCAGCTTCATCAAATAAACATGTATTAGTGGAATATAAAGCATAGCATAGTATGTTTTATGCTGCATGACACCTATTACAATAACATGTTCTTATAGGCCCCAAGATCTCCACAAGAAAATCATTTTTTGAGAACATGAATTTTACTAAATTAGATATTCACTCCATCCATCCATCCAAGCATGCATAAATTCACTAGCATTTTGAGGAGTTGTTCCTGCAGCTCCTCTCCAGCTTCATTTAACATTGAAATATCATAGCTATAGAGAAGCATAAGGAATCAGCTTCTTGCAAACACAACTTACTTTACATTTTCTTCATTTAGGGATATGAACAGTACCCAATTCTCAATATTCTACTGCAATGTGTTGTCTCATAGTATATCCCTTTGATTAGGGAGGGTGGTAATTGTTGGAAGCATTTTACTTCCTAGCTTTCCATGTTGGTTGGACCAATATTAAAAGAAAATAAACTGGGGGCAAAAAATTAAAATAATTTTATGAGTAGTTAGCAAAATCCCAAAATTTAAGAGACAAAATTGAGAGTAATTAATAAACAAAAAAATAAATGAAGTGTCATGATATACAAACCTCTGCTGCCAGATCTACAAGTTTGAACTTTTGAAGTAGCTAAACATTGGTATTTGGGATTTTGATAAATGTTGTGGATTTAAATTTTCTTATTTTTTAAAATCATTCATGATTTAACTCTTCAAAATAAATAATATACTTAATGAAAAGAACAATATAATTTTGTAATTCAAAATTAAATAACTTAATTCAGTGCAAGCTAGTTAAGACAATGTTAAAGAAAGCAGGTTTTACATATAACAATTTTTAGAATTTTAGGAATATTATTAATTTCTTTTACTAAATATTAGGAATCCTAATCTATTTTTCCAAATTTTAATGGTCTTCCCAATCACTTTAATTAAAAATGCAAGTTTTGATTAATTGAATATGAATATAGTTCAAACTTATTCTTATGAAGCACTTTCAAAATTTCAGCAGCAGCCAGAATCTCCTCTCTTCTAACTATTCTGAAGTTACAGAGTGTAATGTGGAACAATTTACAAATCCAATGCTTAATTCTATAAGCAATATTGAGACAAAGAACAATGTGATTAATGATACAATTGGACAGACTTTCAAGAGTGAAACATTTATCTCGGAAGGCTTAGAAGCTGATCATGCATTAGGGGGAACCAGTCCTCAAAAGCCATGATGTAAAAGCCAACATAAACTTAAAAGAAACTGTTTGATATCAAATTCCAATATGCATACTCTCTGCAAAGAACCTAGGCCTGCAGATATAGAGGACATACAAGTTAGATCTAGCTCCAATATGCATACTCTCTACAAAGAACCTATGCTTGCAAATATAGAGGACAAACATGGCAAAAACAAGTTCAAGTTGGGAAAGATGCTACAAGGAAAGTCATTGAGCCAAAAGCTAATCATGTATTAGAGGAACCAAACCTCAAAAGCCATGATGTGAACGTCAGCAGTAACTTCAAAGAAACTGTTGTTAGATCCAATTCCAATATGCATATTCTTTGCAAAGAACCTAGGCTTGCAGATATCAAGGACATACAAGGCAGGACCATGTTCAACAAGGTAGGGGTAAATGCTACAAAGAAAGTCATTGAACCAAAAGCTGATCAAGAGAAGGAAACAAGGTCCCCAAATCCAACAGTTGATTCTATTTCCTTTACAGATTTTTTCACAAGTTATCAATTAATAGAACACATTATGAGTCTAAAAAGGCAGTTTGTTGAAGTTAGTACACCATCTTCCTCGACTTTCCACAACTGCAGCCCTACACTGATTCAAATTGCATTGCTATCTGTTCTGCATGCTTCTTCAAATCCCTGCAAATTTATAAAAAATATAAAAGGAATAAATATTTATACACAATTTAGCCCAAATTTGACTGTAGGTAGTGTACACACATGCAAAGGAGGATACGACATCCTGAATCTCTACAACTCCTAGTGTGCAGTTATTCCCAGCCATGCCTTCATACAATATTGGCAGTCCCCAAAAACTCGAATAGTACACCTACGTGCATGAGAGAGCGGCTTTTTGATTTCAAAACAATGAGGGTAAGTGCATGGTTGTGTTCTGGCCGAGTGACATTGTGATGCGTGCAGTATAACATCCTGTAGAGTTCCTGCCATTTGCATGAGAATTAAATGGTAAGGAAGCAGGCATGCATATCATCACAAGAATGGAAAATACAATAATAGTAACTGAAAAAAAATGGTAGATGTGAACAACAATCTACAAGAAACAAGTGCTGAGAGAATAAAGTCTGGGAACTACGTAGATTCTTGTACCAACTTATGCTTTGACTTCTTGTACGTGCAAAGCAGACAGAGAACTCTGGGCAAATCTCACATTTCCAGTTCAATTGCAATACACTGTGTTCAAAACAAATGCTACATATTGTTCCAACAGTCAAAAGAGTAGGATTCTTTAGATGATAGAGTAATCCTTGAGAGAAAATGTCAAAAGAATGCAGCAGTAGCAC